GTTRAGTGAAAGATGYAACAAACATATACAATAAATTATTTTTCATGYGTCACAAACAGCAAGTTTTAGTWGAACAGATAACATGTTAAGACCAACAGTGTGACAGTAATCAGAGGTCACTTTGCAGTGTAATTAAAACTCAGTTGTGTGGACAACATCAGTCACAACAGAACTTTCTTCAGCCCTTCACAATAAGAGTTCCTAACATAAGCTGGGTTTTGGAGTTTAACCCTCCCACTGCTCTGAAACCTAAACTGAGACTCTGTGGAGATTTTTGATCTAAGGGCAGCAGGAGGGTTAAAAACTAATCTTGTTCTCTGGTAAAACATGTACAGTTGCCAAGTTATTCAAGTTACTTTGTACGTTACTTAAAAATTTCAGGATTAAAAATTATCTACATAACATAAAGCTGTCGTCCATTTTGTAGCCAAGATGATTTGGTTTTTCATTTCCATCTAATCTCAAAATAACTTTATTATTCAAATACAAATGGTGTTTGTTTCTCTACAACTTTCAAAACTGTCTCTATAGATCACAAATTAAATATAGCCACAAATCWGTTTACAGCAAACCTTTTTAATTATGTGAAGCCGTTTAGCAAACACTTTATATATACGATGAAAATAAAATGTGTCAGGTTTTGAGTCCATCTTTAAATTTTCCCTCACCAGGTGGGTTCTTTTAAACGTCTGAATTTACWCTTTGAATTTTCTTTCAATTTAAGACTAAAACAGAGAAAGTTCCAGACTGACTGGTTTTAAAGGGTATTGAGTTGATAATGCAGGGTGGGTTGAAAGACTCGGGACACTTATKTCAGGAACATAGAGGGAAAATGAGATATATTGGGAGTAATTTGTSAGAGGGCAGAATTAGGTGATGTCCAGAACATGGCTGCCATTTAAAGGCCGCCATATTACAGGTTTTTCTTATGGAGGTCAAAGGCGACATGACAGGCAACATTCCTAAATGTTGTTGCAACTTTGTGTTGGACGTCTGACTGTAGATATCCACTTCTGAGCTTTGATCTGCTCTCAGACCTTCACATTGGAACAACCTTGCCTTGATCCAATATGGCGGCTTTTAAGATGGCGGCCATGTGCTGCCTAAAGATATCACCCATTACCTGCTGAGGGATTCAGATTTTAATCAGTGTGCATTGCCAATGCAATGCACACTATTGTGAWTYATTTCCCATCCAAGTCATCTCAACTTTGSCAYGCWTCTCCTCCTGCATACTTTGTCCTAGAGCTGCCATTGTAATTTATATCTGTAAAGCTCCTGTGCCAAATGATGGCTATGCCTTTTGGTGCCTGTAAAACTTATTGTTTATGAAATATTAATGTTTAATGAATTATAATGGTAGTCAATGGAGCCTTGTATTGGTCCAATACTGCCCCATGCTGTACTCAACTTGGTACTGCACCATAGTTTWTTAATATTTAAWCTCAATAGTTCAGTGTTTACAATACTAATATGATTGTATTTTGATGTTTTACTATAATATTTTCTTAATACTGCTCGATTGTTGTAATATTATGCATTTTTGTGTCAATAATTGTATTGGCAATGTGGCCTCTTTCTGCACACATACAAACCAACCCCTGCCACAGCTCTATTGGTCTAATGGTCTATGTCATGGACTTTCATGTGGGAGATCAGGGTTCAAAACCCAGCTAACACAACTTTAACAAAAAAATCTCTTCAAATTTCATATTGTCACACAATTACCTTAATTACAAACACCTGCTGAYGTGACAGGCACAAGCTGGTATAAAAAACACATTTGAACTTGGCCAAAGTTCATTCTGAAAGTCCAGTGCTGCATGGCAATGCACACTTGTTTTTACATCGTAAAAACCTATGTCTAGTTTCGTGTCCTGATGCATCTCAGTAATCCAGGTAAAAAATCAAAAGGAAAAAAAATAGTATAGGTCTTCTGGACGGGTTCTTCTCTAATGAAACGCTTTGTCTCTCTTCCAAGAGACTTCTTCAGTCTGAGAGTTTCAGGCAAAATGTCTAGTCTGTCTAGTTTCCTTTCATTTCTGAAAGTGTGTCCTGAGACTTTTGACTCAACCTGTAGCTGTTGACAGGTTTGTGTTGCTGTTTAATCAACAACTTTCATTTCTTGAGCCATCATCAGTGTTTCATTTCAGCATTATTGTGTACCGAGCTGTGATTACATGTATATAAAKAAGTATTTATGTTCTCTTGCTTTAAAATAAATCTTTTTTGTCAGGAGGAGTTTTAACCTTTTTTGTGGGGGAATAAAAGCAAAAAAGATAATGTCAAAGCTGTCGCTTACTGTTTAGTCTTTTCTTTTTTTGTGCATTTTGAAGACTCACTGCATGAATCTGTGTCGGGTCAAGGACTTAAGTCCAACGAGAACCTTTTAAAAGCTGTTTAGGAACGTGGAGAACCAGCGATTAAAGAACAAAGTGTTTGTTCTAAAATAAATCTGCAGATTAAAATGTTCCGGAGGTTCTTCCTGTGACAGTGTGACACCGCTGTGCCCTTGAGGTCCAGGCGCCTCCTCTGGAGGAGGAGGGGGGGGGGGTGTGACGCCGTGGAAACACGACAGGGTCAAGGGTCGCCTCCCATCCTCCTCCTCTTCAGGTGGAGCGAGGAAGAGGAGGAGAAAGAGGAAGGAGTGGTCCTACAGYGGGCCCACTCAGTCCAGCTCTGGCAAACTGGGAGCTTTTAGCCACAGGCGGTTCTGGCTGCGTCTCCCACCCCCCTCCTCCTCCTCTCTCCTCCTCCTCCTCCTCCTCCCAAGGCCGGGCCTGGATCGATAACGCGTAGCAGTGCGGATTCTTTTTGGCACCCAGCTCTGGCTGCGCAGCATCGCCCCGAGGTAACCGGGGTCCGTTAAGAAGAGCCGGCGCTGCTGTGTGTGTGTGTGTGTGTGTGTGTGTGTGTGTGTGTGTG